AGTTATAACTGGAGCAGTGACCAAAATGTCACTGTTTACCAAGTTTTTTTACCTAAATGTCATGCGAACAATGTTATTTCTCAATATGCCACGGAGGCAATTTCGCTACCCGATGTAGCGAACTCGGTTTGCTGACGTGTCACGTTTCTAGTGGACACCAAGTTCACTACACGGGGTAGCGCACTTGATTAACCAAGTTCGCTACCCAATGTAGCGAACTCCATATTTTTTTTTTAACTTGGTACTTGTTATCCACTATAAATGTGACACATCAGCAAACTGAGTTCGCTACACCGAGTAGCGAACTTGCCCCCGTGGCAGATTGAAAAATAACACTGTTCGCGTGACATTTAAATAGAAAACTTGGTGAATAATGACATTTTGGTCTGTGTTCCGTTATAACTACACCAAAAAAGAGTCTCTTGATTTATTTATGAAGAGTTGCCTAAAATTTGTATTATGACGTTGGCCAGGATGTTTACTTTTCCTATATTCTGTTGAATCCTTCTTATTCTAGCGTAGTAGCGTGGATAATATATCTTTAAATGGTCTAATAAAAAAGAAAGGAAAACTTTGAAAACCCCTAATAATTTTGCTTTGAATTTTTTTTATTTATTTATTTTAATCACTTACTCCCTTATAATTTTTTAATCCAAACTCATCATTAATATCATTAGAAACTTAACAAATTTATCTATTTTACTCTTTTTAGAAGAAAAAAATGGTGTAAGTAAAAAAAGAAAAAATAAGACCTAATATAGTAGAAACTTACAGTACTTATAGAGAATACTACAAATAAAAAATAAAACATAAAACATAAAAAGAAAAAAAAAATATGGCTAAATCAAAAAGAAGAAAAATAGACTAAAAAGAAATTAAAAAAAAAGACCAAATATGTTAAACCTAACAAGAGTAACAGAAAAGAAAAAAGTACAAAAAACAACAACATGAAAACAGTCACACAAAAAAATAGATTGAAGATAAAAAAGAAATAAAAGAAAAAATAAGATCAAATATATCTAAATAAAAAAAATATATAGATAGGGGATATAAAAAAACAAGAATAAATAAGATCAAATATGTTAAAATTTTACGACTCTTTTTTCTTTTATTTTTTTTATCTTATTTTTTCTTCTAATTATTTTAACCGTGATAAAAATGACTAAAAATTTTGAAGAAAAAAAATACCAAAAATATCTAAATCAAAAAGAAAAGATAATGTATCAAAAAAAGAAAAGATAAAGATAAACTGAGGACAAAAAAAAATCAAATCAAATATGATGAAAACTTATAACACTTATAGAAAAGACTAAATAAAAATTAAATAAAACACAAGAAGAAAAATATCAAATATTTTTTTCTATTTTCTTCTTCTAGAAAAGGTAAAATAGACAGATTAGTTAAGTTTATAACGATATTAAGAATGTGTTTGGACCGAAAAAATCATAAAAGGAGTAAGTGATTAAAATGAAAAAAACAAGGAGTACGTGATTCAAAGTAAAACAACCATAAGGGAAATTTTGAACTTTCCCTTGAAATTAATTAATTAAAATATGCACGGAATAAATTAAACATCATGTAACTGCAATGAAAAAATTATTTTTTTATAACAATGACTTTTTGAAGTCTCTTACTATGATGAATTTGCAAGTGTTAAGCACTCGAGCTTTCATCAATATCATAATTCTCTTTGATATGGACTTATCTCACACAGGATACAAGGCCCAATCCATGAAAGGCTTAAAAGGGTTCAATCATTAAAACTTCACGGCTAAAGAAACACAACAATCTTGTGTATATATATGTCATCCCGCTACACACTAACACATAACATCGTCCATTGTGACTACACGACATTAGCAGCTTAGAACTTTACAACCAACCACCCAGCCAATGACTAAGGGATAGATGCCTAGTTCAAATTGGGCCTATAAGACATACACCTAGTTTCAGTTGGGCCTGTGAGACATAATGCACAAATAGACATTCTACATACAAGATAACTTGCAAGAGCCACTTCGACTGACCAATGAGATTAAATGTCATCATATGCACGACACTCAACCACTATATAAACAAAGGCTTGAAGCACACGTATAATCATCTTTCACATCTTACCAAAAACTCGTCACTCATATACTAATTTAAGCGTTAGAGTGTCTTACAGGTAGAGGTGTAAATGAGATTAGTTTTGGCTTAAATAGACTAAGCCTATGTAAAATACTTTAGACCTGACTTGGTCTGTTAGCCTTGTATAGGCCAAAAGTATAGGTCTGACATGGCCTATATTTAAAACAAAAGTCTTGGCCTAGATTTATTATTCTGATCTAGCCTGTTTAAGTCTAAACATAATATAACTTGCAAGAGCCACTTCGACTGACCAATGAGATTAAGTATTGTCATAAGCACGACACTCAAATACTATATAAACAGAGGCTTGAAGCACATTATAATCATCTTTCCCATCTTACCAAAAACTCATCACTTATATACTAACTTGAGCGTCAGAGTGTCTTACAGGTAAGGTTGTAAATGGGCTGGGCTTTGGCTTAAACAGGCCAAGCATGTGTAAAAACTTTAGACCTGACATGACATGTTAGCCTCGTATAGGCCCAAATTATAGGTATGACATGTCCTATATTTAAAAACAAAAGTCTTGGCCTAGGTCTGTTAGCCTGTTTAAGTCTATTAGGCATTCAATAATTAAAATAATATTACTTTATTATTCAAAATCATTAAAATAATAATTTTATTTAAAATAAATAATATGATATAGGTCGATCTGTAGACTTATAGGCCGGACATCTAAAAGAAAGCTTATGACTTAATTTCTAAATAAGATTTTTTTAAAGTCTGAGCCTATTCTATTTGACTGTATATAATATGCCGATTCAAATCTGATATAGGCTGGGTCATAGGTCCTTGTTAGGTCATCCGACTCATTTACACCCCTACTTATAGGGGAACACCGATCAAAATGTCACTGTTCATCAAGTTTTGTACCTAAATGTCACACGAACAGTGTTATTTTCCAATTTGCCACGAGGGCAAGTTTGCTACCCAGTGTAGCAAACTCGGTTTGCTGACGTATCACATTTCTAGTGGATAACAAGTACCAAGTCAAAAAATACATATATGAAGTTCGCTACATTGGGTAGCAAACCGAATTCGCTACACCGGGTAGCGAACTTGCTCCCGTGGCAGATTGGGAAATAACATTGTTCGCGTGGCATTTAGGTAAAAAACTTGGTGAACAGTGACATTTTGGTCACCGTTCCCCTCCATCACCGAAATCAACCAAGAAATCCAGCTCCAAAATCTCCATCTTGCATAATATCCTTCAAGCCGCATGACATCCCGCTAAGACATCATCCTTCAGCACGTATTCCAACAAAGGCCCAGATAATCATTGGATTAGATTCTGATAGAAAAATTAAGATGCAGAAATATAACTCACAATGTTTGAAGAGGGAAAATGACTTCCGCAGAAGTTAACCTTAGAGTAAGAATGATATTGGGTCTCACACTTGAGGGAGGATGTTGAAAATAATCAACTATGAGTTGTAAAGAAGTACCACATAGACCAAGTGATGACCATATAAGTGTGAAAGACCCATAAACCTGCAGCCTTAAGGTTTTGGGTTGAGATGTGGTGTCGGCCCACTTATCATGGTTTGTCATTTGGCCCATTGGTGGATGTACCCTTTGTAAAGGGTTTTGGGCTCCCTCGTTTCATTCCCAACAGTGGTATCAGTGCCAATGATCTGGGCTGGGCCAAGTGTGTTTGGAAGGCCTCTGCAGAAGGCTAGTGTGACCCTAATATTTGAAGAGAAAAAAAGACTTCCGCAGAAGTTAACCTTAGAGTAAGAATGATATTGGGTCTCACACTTGAGGGAGGATGTTGAAAATAATCAAGTATGAGTTGTAAAGAAGTACCACATAGACCAAGTGATGACCATATAAGTGTGAAAGACCCATAAACCTGCAGCCTTAAGGTTTTGGGTTGAGATGTGGTGTCGGCCCCACTTATCATGGTTTGTCATTTGGCCCATTGGTGGATGTACCCTTTGCAAAGGGTTTTGGGCTCCCTCGTTTCATTCCCAACAGATTCATGTGATCCATTCCAATTATTATTGAACCGATCACTCTTTTTACTTTGGTTGTCTTTTTTATTAGTTTAGTTTTATTTAATTTCTATTTTCTAGAACTGAAAAATACTTCTTCTTTTTCCTCAGGGTGCTGAGAAAGAATCTTAGATAAAAAACAAAAAAACTTTTCCATATTGTCCCTGACGATACAGCCCAATAGCCCAGACCGCGTTGTTACTGGGTTTTTATTAGCCCAAAAGGAATGAGAGCGGGCTCAGTTTAAGACAGAGGCCATTTGGAACAACCTCGTATTTCAAAAAAAAAAAAAAATCGCCCCACCAGCATTCTACACTGGCTAATCGATTTATCTTTCTTTGACACAAAAAAAAAAAAAAAAAAAAGAAAATGTTAGAGAACGATAATTTTTGTTAGATATATTTTGTCAGAGCAATGTAGCATATTTATTGACTATTTGATGGGTTAGTAGTGCATGTTATTTTATTTTGTCAACAATCACCGTTAGATTCTGTCAATATATTTACATTTCCTGACTGTCTAACATTGCCCTTCTTCGAAAATGAAAATGAAAAACCCCAATTCCTATTTTTTTCCCCTGGGCATTGCCTATTAATGTTATAATCGATGGTGGCTTGAGAGGAGAGTTTAAAATAACACTCAGGTTCCTTTCAGAAGAAAAAAAACACTTAAGTGAAGTAAAGTGCGAAAATTGAGAAAGTACAACGGAATATAATATAAATAAATAGCAATTCAATTTTAAATATTAACATGAATGAACATATAAAAATCAGCTGTTTCGGCATAATAAATATTAAGATGTGATAAAAATTAATGTCATAAAGGCTCCAATTAAAAAAATAAAAAATAAAAAAAATAGATGTTTAACTATTGAATTTCATATTATTAAAAAAACTAAGCCTCCACAGTTAGCTGGATGACATTTCATACAAAAAGATTAAAACAATTGACAGCTAGGTACCCCAAAACAATAAAAATGTACAGAGCTATGTTCACTTGGCCACTAATCCTACGTTTGATTTGATATGAAATCAAAGATCCCGAGAAGAACTCTGCCAAACCTCAACACATTGCTGATCCTTTCTAGTCAAGAACATTCTACTCCCTCCAAAGGCCAAATTGGTAATTTTAGCACCTCCCATGTCCTGTACCCTCCCCATCAAGTTCTTCTTCAATATCCTCTCTTTCTTTGCATTTCCCATTATAACCTCTGACCACAGTTCCACATTCCCTCCTTTGGTGCAAAACACTTGATTCCCTTGCGTTTCAATCTTGCTACCAACCCCTTCCTTCTTCCCATTCATCACTTTTCTCTTGTCACCGAGACAAACCCATGAATTCTCACCACTCAGATTACGCAAATCCACGTAGTAGGCCTCACCTGAATTCACCCCAACCTTAAACATAACCGACAATTCATCGGACACTGCCACGTCAGCAAAACAATCCACTTTCTCTGACATCTCCCAAACAACGTTGCCGGACCGAACATCCCATAACCTTATGTTACCGGACACGCCGGAGGGACCACTGTGGGACCCAGACGCCATTAACAAGTTGTGGCCTTGAACCCATTGCAACTTGGTTGCGGGGATTGCGGAATCGATGTCGGCACCGTAGATCTCGTTGTGACAAATCTCCGAGATGGGTCTCAAGCTATGCAAATCGTAAACCACGATCGTATTCGAGTTGCGCCGTGAGGACTCGAAGCTAGCGAAAAGGTGCTCCGGCGAGGACCCAATGGCTTGGACCGTTGAACCGGACTTGGTCACGTTCTCCCAGTTCAGGGTATCTCTCACGTGCCCCTTTTCCAAATCCAGAATCTGCAGGCCGGAGAAGTCGTTGGCGCCGGCGGCGGCCACCGACGGCGAGATAGCGAGGAGGGAATCCACGGCGGTGAAGTGGGTGAGAATCGTGGATTTGCGGCGGAGGGACCAATCGAAGGTGGTGATCTTGCTGCCGTGGGCGACGTGGAGGGAACCGTAGGGGGTGGTGGCGACGGAGGAGGGAGAGTCTCGTCCGTTCAAGGGCAAGACGAGTGATTTTTGGAGGTTGAAGGGTTCCAACTGGGAGGGGCTAGAAAGGGAATTGATGAGGAGGTTTTCGATGCCGTAGAATTGTGACTCCAAGATTAGGTCTTGGAGATCGAAGGCTTTGGCTTTTGAGGGAAGGTTACCGGTTCTGAGGAGAGAGAGGAGGAGGGAGAACAGTTCTGGGTCTCTGTCGATGAACGGTGTGTAGAGTGGTGATGCTTCGGTTATTCTGGAAAAGAATGATTTCGGACCTGCCGAGGTTAGTGTCTGCTTCGTGGTTTGGAACAGTTGTCCACCCACGTCGATGGAAACTATGTTGGATTCGAATCCAGGATGAGAACCTGCAAAAGGTGGCATTTCTATTTGATTTCCTGTTAATACTTGTTCGCTCTCTGAAATGCCAAGTTGTGAATTGGTATTTTGAGAACAACGGAAAGAAATGAGGGTTTATATATGAGAGAGGAGAAGGGGTCGTTGGTTTTGCCAATGGTATAGGATCTGGGACTCTAGAAGGTCCAGTGCAAAAAAGGTCAAAATTTTTGGTCTAACTAAAAGTTGGTCCTGTCATTAAACGATGATAACTTAATTGGTACAAAAAAAAATTAAGTAGGTGGGGTGAGTTCGATCTTTTAGTGTTATTTTTGAAAGAAATTTAAATCTTTAATTTTATATTTGTCTCGAATATAATTTCATAAAAAATACACGTGATTTATAAATAAAAAATAAAATAAATTGGTCCAGCCCTTCTAGTTGAAGCAAACATCATTGCCAACGTGTGTGTTTGTTTGTTTTTTCTCTTTTTAATTTTAAATTATATTGGCCGTCCGAAATGGACTATTTGTTTTTGGTAGAATATGAACGCAGCCAGCTACTTCTTCCGAGGACTGATATAAAATAAAATAAACATATTCAGATCGATGCGGCGAATATCTTTCATTTGTTTTCTGCGTTTGAAAATTGCAATGGTTGACGGTCAAATTTGATGCCCACGTTTTTTTTTTTTTGCATTATGTATATTTTGTTTTTATAGAACAGGAATGAAATGAAATGAAATAAAGAGAGCAATTTATTAGACAATGGTTTAAATAAGAAAGAATATATTTGATGAAATAACTTTATAAGATACCTATAGTCAATGGTTTTTTTTTTTATAAAAAATTCATTTGCTAAAATGAAAATGCTGGGTAGCACAAAAGTGACATACTCAGTTCGGGAATTCGTAAACATTATAGAAAGAAAATTTTAATCATGCCTGCAAGGTTTTTATTTATTTATTAATATGTCAATCTAATTAATAATATTACTTACTATTGGTTAATCATTAAATTTTTATAAATGCAATTTTTTTAAATGGTAATAGCAATTAAAGAAAGAGTGAATCTATGATAGTTTCAAAGATTTGTTATTACTTACTATTAAATAATTACCAGATAAATTTAAATATAAAGTTTAATATTGATTTGTCTGTTCAATTTATGGTTGACTATTGAAGGAATATTTAATATTTAAATACAAAATATAACGGTCAAGCATGCGTGCGCATGCACTTATATATGCTAATAAAATGGAAACATCTAAAGAACCTTCTTCTAGAAAAAGGTACGGGGGACAGGATTCCACATTGCTTAGTCTGTATGCTCGTGTTGGACTGGACCTGAAGTTGTTGATTTAGGGCTCTGAAGTCGGGGTAAGAGGTTGCTTGTGGTATGTTTTGGGCCTTTTTCTGTCCGTCACGAGACATTGTATCTTCAATTCTGGGAACCTAAAAGCGAGTTAGTGTTCCAAACGATAGTAATTCAGTTGACGCATAAAAACTGAACAGGCGAGGGTGAGAGCATTTACTTGATTCTTCCCATTACTGTTTTTGGAAAGGATTTAAAGCCTTAATCATGAACTCACCTCAAACTTCGCATTAGTCTATAGAAGACCTATAAAATTATGAGAGAATACTCTCCAAAAAAAATAAAAAAATAAAATAGCGAGCTAGTGAGTAACATATTCTCCCATGCATTCTTCTATTATCAGTTGAGACAATTACGAGTGTGTTTACCAAATACCATTGGCACAAGTGGTAAGGAGCTTGTGTCCCTTAACTAGAGGTCTTGAGTTTGAGTCCCGAGAATGAAAAAAGATAATTTTGGAAGAGCCACCTCCTTTATAGGGCTCAACAATGCTCGAACCGGACTAATCCGAAAATGAACACATAAAAAAAAAACTACAAGTATGTTTGAATTCTGTTTTAAAAACAGTTTTTAAAAAAGACATGTTTGACAACGTCTTTGTAAAATTATATCTATTTTTAAATTTTTAGAATCAAATTTAAAGAACATATTTCAATTTTATTTTTTGATTTTTAACTTTTAAAACAAAAAACACAAATAATATTCATTTCATTGACTACTCTACAAAATAATTTAAGAATAAAAAAAAAATAGAACACAATATATTTGGGTGGGTCGTTTCAGTTCTCATTCACTTTTTACTCTCTCTTTTTTTTTTTATATATTAAAAAAACTATAAAAATGCCCAAAAAGTAAAATTGTTTATCTGAATATACATGCCTTTTAAAATACATTAGTTCAAATGTGGAAATCTATCTCCCTATTTGTGGGATCTAACAGTCTCTTATTGAACTATGGCGAATTTGAGCATTCATAAAAATTACTAAAGCGAAATCTAACAACATTGCTATGGTTTGCCCCCGTTGGGTGAATGTCCAGAAGGTTTTCTACCCCTCTTGCAAGCTCGACCTCCATGTGTACGTTTTTCTTTATGTTTTCTGACTTGATTTGTATCAAAATTAGGATTTGATTTGTGATTCTAAATATTAGATAAATAGAATAAGAATCATGATCAATATCTATTTATTTTAATTACCACCATTCATTAATTTATAATAGCTGCCGATATATTACATGTAAAATCGACAGAGGGTACATACGCTAAAAATGTACAGCTACATTTTAACCCCAAACTTGATAAGAACTACAACATACATAATATTATGGAGAGGAGAACACACCTCTGTTTTTTTTTTTTTGGGGGGCCATGTAGTTCAAAAAAGAACCCCGTCACTGTGTTAGACTTCTCAATCTTTAATTTACTATTATTCAATTTAGTAGGAGTGCTGTTGAATTTTCTGCCAAGCAGCATGGCAAAAAATTAAAATCCAATGCCAAATTGTAGCATGTCTGTGAACAAGAAGTCACTATGTGAGTCCTTTTATTGGTTGGTTAGCTGACACCAGGTTGAATCATTGGGAAAAAAGACCAATCCTTGGAGGCCCCTCCCTCATTCCCAGCAACTTTCTCATTAGCCCACCAGTCAGCAACTATATTGGGGGCATGAGAATCACCTCCATCTGCATTATCAAAATTGAATTCTTTAGCAGAAGAAAGTGTTAAGGACTGATCCTTCTCATGAACTGTTGCCTCATCTCCACCCAAACTGGTTTCCTGAGGTGCATCCTTATTAGGAGTTTCTGCAACAACTTGTTTGTCATCACACCCGGTTTCTCTTGAATTTTCTTCTTTGTCTGCTGTTGCTGCATCGTTTTTTAATATTGACACGACTTTAGTCCAATGTGATGATGTTGCTGGCTTGTTTTCCACATATAATACTTTCTGGGAAGATAATTCAAATGAGACCCTATGATTTACACCAATCTCATTCCGGCGATTATTCATTGGATGTGGGGATATTTTGATCTCAGAAACCCAGTGATTTGGAAGAAAACCAGCTTGAGTTGTGGACCTTACAGCATCTGGGGTTAGAGAACCAGAACCTTGATTTGACTTGTGGTTTTCATAAGTGGACAATTTATCTAAGTTAAGTAACTTGGGAGGGTCTATATGGGAGCCACCAACAGTAAATTCACTATCAGGGAAAGGAGATGAGGTGCCAGAAGCTGAGATGGCAGATCTTGGTGATATGAGCTGACCAACTGGGCTTCCAGGATGAAACTGGTAAGATTGGAAGTCATAGTGAGATACTTGGAACCTCTGATAGGTCTCACCATTCCTATTGTTGGTGTCAAGAAGCTGAGCAAATGGAACCTCAGGGGAAGAAGGTGTAGTCAAGTGTACAGACTCAGGAGGAGGAGTGAAAGGAGCAGTTGATGAAGCTGAGAAAACGGGTGGCGAAACTAATTGGGTTTCGTGTGCATAAGGACCAATGGCAAAGATTGAGGTAGGGCCACCAGGAGAGTACATGCTAGCAGACACAGATAGTATACCAACTGGTGACTGTGCAGTTGAAGGAGGTTCTGATTGAAAGAAAGATGCAGGAGATGAGGGAGGTGCAATAAAGGGAAGTGTTATGCTAGGTACTTGAGTTGAACTAACAGCTGCACCAGGATCTGCTCCACTAGGTGCTGTTTCTGGAACAAGCACAGCATGTCCGATGCGCTTTCGGCTTTTGTTGTATCCAAAACACCCGGATATGTTCAACCAGCTTCCCCATTTTTTCTTCTGCAAGCAAAAGTAACTGACTTAAGTTTCAGACATTTTAATTGTTCCCTTGATGCACTCGGAAGTACCAATTACTGATAGTTATATACAAAATGAAATATAACTCAGACCTTAATTTTCATATTGATAGACCCCAGATTGAACAAGAAACATACATACACAGTAATTACTCCTAGAACATCCATTCTTGCAAGAGTTTCTCATTGCTTGCAGGGTGAAAAAAATAAGGAGTCAATTAATTGTCATACATGACAGGAATCAGGACAAACACTCTACCAGCAAGTGTGAGTAATCTGATCCAATCTTCTACTTGGTATTTAATCCTAGTTAAGTTATGGTATTCGTCAATCTGATTATCAAAAAATGAGATTTCAATCATCAGAAAAATGAGAAAGCCAACTGAATTGAAAATTCTCCTTTGTTAATTTCACCAAACTCAGCACAAAATGCGAATTGCTTTCAACCTTGCACAGTGACTCTGCCACCACAAAGATGTCTTGCATAAAAAATAAAAATAAAAAATCTATTCCCATTTTATTAACAAGAAAATGACTGATATCAAGTAAAAGCAAAAACAGTGCGAGAACTGATGAGTTCCGACTTTACACGCTTCCTCATTAACGAAGACAAAGACTAAGCACAGGAAAATTCTAACATTGTCTAATGAATTTTCCCCGAACTTACTATCTTTTGAAACTGAAAAGTTTGCGACTTTTATGTGTTCATATCACCACACACATACAAGGAAAAAGGGAAAAAGGAAAAGAAAAAAAGAAAAAAAAAAAAGATACCTTCTTTTCTTAAAAGAGATCAATTATGAAAATTCAACCAAACAGTGTCACGTTCAACACAAAATGGAATACATGACAAAAACCTGACAAGCAAAAGAGAAACCCAGATAACACATAGATTAAAGGTCTAGAGCATCAAAATGATCAACCCAAAAAAACAAAAAATAAAAACAGCAAACAAATAGCACTTGTTGAGCAAAAAATATCTATATATATATTTTTCTTTCTCCCCAAAAATGGTGTGAAAAAAACGAAGTTAACATCATTATAAGATTATACCTGATGAGCATGTTGAGAAACGCGATTCTGGGCTGATGTTATGGCAAAGGCAGCAGCGTTTATAGTGTCCAAAGTGTTGTTGACATCTCTGCCATCATTCCCATTAGCCCTTCTCATATCTGGTTCTTTCTTTCACCGATCAAAAATTTTCAAAGTGTTGAAACCCAATAGGAATAAAAGAATATAAGGAAATTAGCATAAAGAAGTAAGAAATCGTGCGGTGGTGGATTGCATAGCAACGAAGTTGAGAACTTTTGAGTTTGCTTATGGAAAAAAATGAAAGTGCAAGAATCAAATCTCAGTTTCTGTTTCTGAAATCTGTGTACGCTGTGTGCCGTGAGAGTATAACGCTGTTTTGAGTTGAAGTCAAACACGGCAATGACTTGCTCCTCATGTGATTAACGAAGACCCGGTTTGCCTTTCTTTTTATTTAAGGTTAATGTAATTATCATACGATGTTACCAACTGACAAGTGTCGTGGATTTACCCTACTACCCTTTAAGCTTGGCTTTTTTTTTTTTTGTTTTTTTGTCATCTAATTCGTCATGTTTTAGGTCTTAATATGATTAGTTCAATAAATTGGATAATTTTTGAATAAAAAAACAACTAATTTATCGTCCAACCAACTTAAATTATTAATTAAATTAAATTATAAAACATTACTAATACACCCTCGATCGGAGCTTATTCCAATAATTATTGATTCAATTGTTAAGGAATTTGTTTTATTTAATCACGAGACTTCGAATTTAAATTCTGAAAATAAAAAATAATAATTTTAGGAGAACCGACATTGTAATTATAATGTTTCAAAATAATTTTATTGACTTTTAATTTCTAATTTAAAAAACAATACAATACTTTCTTAAAATAGATAAGTTTAGCACCCATCATATAATTATTTGGGAAAAATTGTTTTTAAAAAAGGAAGACGAGAGAACTAAGTAAGTAGAAATAAAAATATATGTTCGATCTTCTTCAATATCATTTTAAAAAAGAATTTAAAATTTTAATCTTCAAACTCATAATGAATTGAACTAATTACGAATTAATAAATTGATTAAAATATTAAAAGAAAAAAGAAAAAAAGAGAGGGCGATGGTACATAACATAATTACATAGAGATGAGTTTGGTCCTATGAAATGAGAGGACATGTTGTTTACGTTAGCAGGAGTGCACGTGTGCACAGCCATTTCTGGACGGCTTTCGTGCGCAGCACCATCCCACTGACAAGAAATGGGGTCCACCGCCATCTATATCTCCACCCAAAACTAGCCACCACTTGCTAATAACTTGCACCAATACTCTATCTTTTCACTTACCTTTCCTTTTCTTAATTCGACTTATATTTTTATTATGTATGGGATAATATTAATAATTCTTTCTCTCTGAAATTCATGCCTCAAATTCAAAGACTATTATGGACCCAAACTCAAATGCTTTTCTTTCTCTCTTTATCTTTGTCAAGTTTTTCTAAATTGTTATTAATGTGACTGCATATACTAATTTATTTTGAGATAAAAAAACCTTTGTTTAACAGTTTTTTGAGAAATTATTATTTAATAAATAAAAATAACTTTTATCTTGAAAATATAAAAATAGTTTACCAAAAAATATATAAAAAATGTTTTTTGTTTTAGATAACTAATTAGATGATTTAATAACAAATAATAAATACTATTTTTAATTCGTATCATATATCTTTTGAATATGTATTAAGAAAAACCTTTCTTTATTCATATTTGAGTTATCTACGAGGTTGAAATTTCGCTTTGTTGTTGAACTAACATGCTTGAAAAAGCCAAGCATCAAACAACTCCCAGATTTTGGAACCTGGCCGAACGTGCAAATAAATTTTAAATCCAAAAAAAAGGAATATCTCTAGTCCTTCGTGTGGCCATGTGTCATGACCCTACGGACACGGTGGTGTGCTTTGCTTAATTGCTTTATTTTCAAATTGTCATCTTATGTGTCAGCAAAAACTCAAGAAACTGAGAAAAATTAATGGATAAAAGGGATTTTATATATATATATATATCACTTTTTTTTTTATGAATTTAGAATTCTCCTTGCAAATTATGTATTCCAGATAATACATCATTATAATATAAAAAAATAATTTTTAATATTATAACTATATTTTTCTCGGAATACATAGTTATAAAGTGTATGAATTTTTTTTTTAATATTATAGGGTTTAAAGTTATCACCATATATATATTTAGGAAAAATATTTTTTCATATTGCATGAGAATTCAATTCTCATTTGTGACCCTTCGATTTGCATGTAAAATTTTTCTTTTCTTTTTCTCTTTTTAATAAATATGGGATCCACCACTAGTTGAGTCACAACATGAGAATTCAATTTTCATGTAACATGAGAAAATCAAACCCCTTATATTTATATGATATATTGTTTCTCAAGTCATTTGAGATAATCCGGCCACTAAATCATAATCGTATAAAGATGGATTAATGGTGATAAAGAAAGAGAGAGAAAAAGAATTCAAAGGTGATCAATTAATATAAGAAAATAAATAAACAAAACAACGTAGTTTTGGGACAGTGGCGGACCTGTGAGTGTGCAAGTGCACACTCAAATTTTTTGAGGAAAAAAAGAATAAAATATATTTTGGGTCATCAACAAAAAAATTCAGGACCCAATTTAATCACTTAAAGAAAGTCGACTCGTGATTAGATCAATGTGGGTCTTTTTGAATTTCAGAAAATCATGATTTTGATTATTTGGGTCTATTTTTGAATTCTGAGGGATCACGAGTAGATTTTTTTTCTTAAGAGATTAAATAGAGGCCCGTAATTTTTGTTGAGGACCCAAAATATTCTATTGTAACAGTTTAATTGACACTTAATTATTATTTTTATATTAAGTTAAAGTTTTCTTTTCTTTTTTTGTTTATATTCTTTTATATTTTAATATATTTAAAATTTTCTTTAATTTTTTTTTTCTTTATTATTTTATTCTAAGTGTCAGACATTAAATTTTTTTTTCTAGATCCGCTATTGTTTTGGGGTGACCGAATATAAATGTATCTCAAGTGACTTGAGAAATATTTTTCTTATATACATATACGAGACAAGATTTTTTTACGCTGGTGTCAAACTAAAAAATTTGATATCAAATCCTAACAGTTGATTTCTGTCAATCGATGGTTAAAATTTATTGAGAATTACTAATTAATTAATAAATGTGACCCAATAAATTATAATTTTCAAATTAGCAAAAATCAATGGTTATGATTTGATGTTAAACTTTTTAGTTTGACACCGGTATCAAAGGATACTATTATATATATATATATATATATATATATATATATATATATATAGGGATAGGATCAACTTACGCTGGTGTAAGAATAATAAATCTTACACCAAATCTTAACCGTTGATTTCCGTGCATTCAATGGTTGAGATTTATTGGGAATTAAAAATTAATTAATGAGTGAGACCTAATAAATCTTAACCGTTAGATGTAGAAAATCAATGATTAAGATTTGATGTAAGATTTATTATTCTTACACCGGTGTAAGATGATCCTACCCCATATATATATTATTATTAAAAAAAGGAATTTAACTCGACAAACAAACATGATTCAAAAACAATGAATGTTTTACCTAAACTCTGCGGAAGGCAACCATGGCCTTAAAGCAGTTGAATGCAAAATCCCACCCTCCAAATCATGTCAATTTAGACTTTGACAAAACTACGGGGATAAATTGAGCGTGGATGCTCTCATATGTAAAAAAAATTATGATAGGTACAAATTTTTTACATAACTATATATATATATATTGCCATATAGGGAAATCATACTCTCATGTAATAGGTGAGCAAAAAATTTTCCGAACTCTGTTAGTCAATATGAAAATTTTGTTGGTAAGTGATAGATAACTTTTTCAGAAATTCTTAAAGAGGTTGGGGTCTTTTTTTATCTTAGAGAGATACTGATATCTAATCACTCTTAAACTTTATCTATATAAAAAAAAGACAAAAACATTTTACTTGATCACAAATTCACAACTGGTGAAATTTACTCACTAATTCGTGATAGTTCTCTCAATTGTAAATAAAAAATTAGAATTGTTTGAGAAACGGTGGGCTCACTAGGTTCGGGACCGAATGGCAAAGCTATAATATAACCTTTGATTATTGTTGTTTTGGAGCAATCATCAGATTTTCCAATTATTACTCCATGTGTAAATGCAGTGCGGTACATTTTCAAATGTTTATTATGAGAAAATTAATGTTGAAATAGTTACAAAAATTAATAGGAATGGCTCTCCCAAAACCTTTTTGATTTTTCAGGCAATTTTTAACCTATAATTTGATTGTAAATACTAAATCTTTTATACGAAGAAAATTGGGAAGCTATAACTTAGCCTAGTGATCTGGTGATGCTATAAAACATGTTGATTGACATTTTGTAAATGCGTTTCATCAGAAATTTTTTAACGTGTTCTAGGATCACCGTAGTTCTTTCTCTAAAAAATTGACACGTATATTATTATTTTTTTCTCTTTCTCTCACTTCAGTTCCACCAAATTTCTTTTGGTCCGGAACCGGCGTAACTTCGCTCATTCCATCGTCTACTAGAATTAAGCAACCCAATACCCAATTTTGATTGCAAAAGAAACTTTTGTACCCTCTTTCCTCCAAATTTCTGGTAAACGCCTTTAGCAATATTTGTTGCTATATTGTGAGAAAGAAAGCTTCCAAAAAGTGGGGTAGGATTGGTAATAAAAGTCATGGATTCTTTTCCCTTTTGCTTCTATCCTGGGGCAACTGAAATAACAATTAAAATTTATGACTTTTAAAACGATAATTAATCTAGGTTTATATAGTAATCTTGTTAGATATTTTGGGGCACCTTTTTCATCATTGCACTTGCAGTAGTAGTAGGTCACTAGTGAAATATCAAGTTTATCATGGCATTGTGATTGCGCTACTTCATTTTCTTTAGGACCCCACTCTCTTTTTTTGACTTCAGCGAATGCAAACAAAACATTATAAATATGACTCCCGGGCCTCGACACAAGCATAAAACTAGCTGCAACATAAATTATATATAAGACAAAAATATTAGCAGATAAGGCCCATTTGGTTAGCTAAACCAAATTTTTCATTTCTAATTAATGCAACAACAGTGTTGTACTTGACGAAATTAAAAACAGGTAACAAGAATAATAAGCCGGAAAAAAAGTTCTAGAAATTAAAGAATCTGTTCGAAATTTGTTTCGAAAAATAATTTTTTGATTTCAGGAAAAAAAAAACCTATTTGGTAAGTTTTATTTTATAAAAAATGTTTTAAAAATTATAACAATTTTTTTATTTTTAAAATCAAATTTAGAAAAT